GGCTGCTCCACTGCCAGCCCCACCCCACCGTGACTCAGCAGAACAGTCAGCGAGAGCCTGCCCCCCTCCCCACCCGCCCCACTGCCGGCCCCATCCCACCGTGACTCAGCAGAACAGTCAGCGAGAGCCCGCCCCCCTCCCCACCCGCCCCACTGCTGGCCCCACCGTGACTCAGCAGGAATCCCGGGGGGGGGGGGTAAGAGAGAAACAGGGGCTGCCTCTCCCCAGGGTACCATCCGCAGGGTAAACGCCCTGGAGGGGGAGGCAGTGCTGGGGCAGATTCCAGGGGGGGAGGGATAGCTCAGTGGTTTGAGCATTGGCCTGCTAACCCCAGGGTTGTAAGTTCAATCCTTGAGGGGGCCACTTAGGGATCTGTACTTGGTCCTGCTAGTGAAGGCAGGGGGCTGGACTCAATGACCTTTCAGGGTCCCTTCCAGCTCTAGGAGATAGGATAGCTTCATTATTAAAATTAAATTAACAATATGGACCGGAGAGCAGGACAAACTCCCCAGCCGGGAGGTGGCTCTGCTGGGACTGTCCCCACGAGAAGGGCCGGGGCCCTGGCGGTTCGGGGCATTCCAATCAAGCCGGGCACTGGACACTGGCAGTGACTGGCACAACCGGCACAGTGCCACCACATACAGCTGCCTGGTGAACAGCCCTGGTAATGGGGGAGGAACATCTGGGACCAGCCCCCAAGCTCTCACTGTAGGGCTGCCTGGGGAAGGGGGTTCAGAGGCAGCCAGCCTGGCAGATGGGGGATCCTTCGGGCTCGGCACCGGCCCCAGGCCAGACCGGCTCCGGTGCCCTGGTGTTAGAGGCTGGACCAGCCAGCACCAGTGACATCTATGGGGCCAGGTGGGGCTCCAGACCCTGGGCAGCAGGGCTCTGCTCTGCCCTGGGCTCGGGGGATGCAATCGATGGGCTAACCCAGGGCGTGGTGGCCCAAACCCGCTCCGGCGGCTGGACCCTGCTAAGGCTGGGGGGGAGGCTTCCTGGCTCTACCCAAAGAGGGACTGGGGTGCACCCAGCAACAGCCCCAAGCCCCCCACTCTGGGCTCCTCCAACCCTCCATGCCTCGCCCCCCGACCTACCTTCTGAGGGGCGTCTCCCAGCGACCACCACCAGAGGGGGCTCCTCCAGGACACCAGGGCCAGGTTCTCGGCGGCAAAGGCCAGCGCCCAGAAGAGCAGCAGGACGGTGCCGTGGCCTCTGGTCCTGTCCTGCGCCAGCACCCGGGTGTGCTCCAGCTGCAGGAGGCCGAGGGCGCAGCCCCAGCCCACGGCCGAGAGGCAGCCGTACAGCAGCGCGTAGCCGTACAGCGGGCCCGCGTCCAGTGCCTGCCACAGGAGGGCGCCGAGGGGCTGCACCGCCAGCAGCAGCGAGAGCAGCACCTGCCCGTGGTAGAGGCGCGAGCGGGGGATGTGCTTGGGCTCCATGGCGCGGCCGAAGCGGGCGTAGCAGGCGTACTGCAGGGCGCCCAGCAGAAGGCAGACGCTCAGCAGCACCGTGGGCACCAGCGTGAAGTAAAAGCAGGGAGAGAACCCCTGCTGCGTCCATGGCTGGGAGATGGTGCCGTTCCCCGGGCAGTAACTCCCCAGCACCACCATCCTGCTGGGCGAGAGGCTGCGGAGACACAACGGCACAAACACAACCGCTCAGCGGGGTCTGGCACCGACACGGGCTGCTATGCACCAACGCATGCTGGCACGGCTGGGCACACACACGTGAGCACCCACGCACTGAGGTGTGCAAATACACACTGACACAGCTGTGCAGACACACGAGTGTGAGCACCCACATGCCCGCTCAGGCACACACAATGATATTCTATTCTACGTAGGTTCTCCTACGACGCTCATCACCCCAGCAACTCAGCCCCCCAGGAAGACAGGCTCCGTCAAGAGTGGGATGCAAAGGCAGGCGTGCACAGCACAACGGATTAGCAATCCAGCGCTGCAACCACTCAGCCATCTTGTCTGACGGGCGTGCAAATGTACACACAGACATGTGCAAATACAGGGCCACAAGACCACGCGTGTGCACAGACCCTTGCACTACATGTTCAAATCCCCTAGGCAGTGCCCTGGCATGCGCGTGGAGGGACACAGTCCCGTGTGTCGTCCCCCCCCCCCACCACACA